TGGTGGTATTTGAAACACACGTGACATAGCTACAGCTAGGTCATAGCTGTAGGACAACATATATCATTGTAACATACAAGCTACCTACAATATGACAAACTGACAGATGAATGATGACAACCACTTAGCAATAAAAACCAAAACAACACTAGACTCAAATAAGATGAATTTTTTAAAATGGTATTGAATTATAGAATCCAAATACATAAATATGATTCCAATTATATGACGTCTAATAGGCAGAAAAAAAATCTAGTGAGAGAAATCAGAATAGTGATTGCGTTTGGAGTGGAAGGAGGTTTGGGGTTGATTGAAAGGGCTCAAGGGAACTTTATCTGATGAGGCCCATGTTCTATGTGTTGGTTACATGTGTGAGTACAATTGCCGAGACTCATCTGATTGAACACTTAGGATCTGTGCATTTTATGATATATAATAATTATTTTATCATCATGAAGGAAATCAAAAGATGAACTGCGTTGGGAAAATCTGCTGTTAGGGACCTCTCTAGATTGCTGAAAAGCAAAGATGTCAGTCTGGAATCTGAGGTACTCCTGATCCAGGCCATGTTCTTTGCAGTTACTTGCTTGCATCAGAGAGCTGAACAATGTCTAAGGATGACAGAAAAAGAATTGATGTCTTTGTGTTGTGGTGCTGGAGAAGAGTCTTGAACAAACAAGTCTGACCTAAAGAGGGTGAAACCAAGTTTGTCCTTGGAAGCCAGGACTTTGAAGCTCCATCTTACATAGTTTGGGTTTGTTGCCAGAAGGGACCAGTCCTTGGAGAAGGACATGCTTGGAAGGGTGAGAGGACGGTGCAGGAGAGGGAGACCCTGGATGAGATAGATTGGCACAGTGACTGGGCTTGTAGTAGCAGGTGTGTCTGTCAGAGACAGTGAGACTGGCTCGGGACGGGGCCGGGTTCTGAGCCTTTCTGCATAGGGTTACTGTAAGTTGCAAGTGACTTGGCGGCACATAACAACAACAACAACAACAACATATAAATATATAAAATATTTATTGAGAGATTTTTAAAAAGACTACGATTAGCTTCCCCCCCTCTGTTTCACAGTACTGTCACCATCATGACTAGTATTATAGCCAATATTAGATGCATCTTGGCAGAAAGCAGACTACAAGAGGAATGTGTATCTGTGTTTCATTGACTATGCAAAAGCTTTTGACTGTGTGGATCACAACAAACTGTGGCTGACTCTGAGAAGAATGGGAATCCCAGAACACTTGATCGTGCTAATGCGAAACCTATACTTGGACAAGGAAGCAGTCATCAGAACAGAGTAGGGAAACGCTGCATGGTTCAAAATCAGGAAGGGAGTTGTGAGGGATGTATTCTGTCTCTATGCCTTTTCAATCTATATGCAGAACAGATCATTTGGGAAGGTGGGCTTCATGAGGAGGAAGATGGTATCAGGATTGGAGGAAAACTCATCAACAACTTATGTTATGCAGATGACACAACTTTGCATGCTAAAATTGAGGAGGACCTGAAGCACTTGCTGCAAAAGGTCAAGGACTGTATTGAATGCATTCAATATGGATTGAAGCATAACATCAAGAAAACAAAGATTCTCACCAGTTGACCAGTTGGCAGCTTCATGATGGATGGAGAAAAGATTGAGATTGTTAATAAATTCAGCTTGTTTGTTTCCACAATCAACAGTCTTGGCACCAGCAATAAGGAAATCAAAAGATGAATTGCACTGGGAAAATCTGCTGTCAGGAACCTCTCCCAAATACTTGAAAAGCAACGATATCAGTCTAGAGATTAAGGTGCGCCTCATCCAAGCCAAGGTCTTCGCAGTTATACGTTATGCATCAGAGAGTTGGACAATGACTAAGGATGGCAAAAGAAGAATAGATGTCTTTCTTTTGGTTGTGGTGCTGGAGAAGAAGCTTGCACATACCATGGGCTGCCAAGGAAACCAAATAGGTCTGTCATTGTTGTTGTTGCTATGTGCCATCGAGTCGTTTGCAACCCTATGTACAACAGCCCTAAATCCTGTTCTATCCTGTGCCAATTGCATTGCCTCTGACACACCCATCCTGATTACCCCAGTCACTGAATCAATCCACCTCATAGAGGGTCTTCCTCTCCTGCGCTGTCCCTCTGCTCTACCCAGCATGATGTCCCTCTCCAAAGACCTGTCTCTCCTTGCAACAGGTCCAAAGTATGTCAGACGAAGCCCCAGAATGTTTACCTCCAAGGAGTAGCCTAGTTTAACCCTCTCTAGGTTGAATCTGTTTGTTTTCTTGGCAGTCCATGGCACATTCAATACTCTTCTCCAGCACCATAGCTCAAAGGTGTCAATTCTTCTTCTGTCGTCCCTAGTCATTGTCCAGCTCTTTGATGCATAACAAGTGATTGCAAAGATCATGGCCTGTATCAGGTGCACCTTCGTCTCCAAAGAGACACCATTGCTCTTGAGTACTTTAGAGAGGTCCCTAACAGCAGACTTTCCTATCGCAATACATTTTTTGATTTCCTGGCTGCTGGTGCCAAGAGTGTTGACTGTGGAGCTGAGCAAACTGAAGCTGTGAACAATCTCAATCTCTTCGCCATCCATCCTGATGCTACCAATTGGTCCAGTAGTGAGAATCTTTGTCTTCTTGACATTGAGCCTCAGTCCATATTGAAGGCTGCAGTCCTTGACCCTCTGCAGCAAGTGCATGAGGTCCTCCTCAGTTCCAGCAAGCAGGGTTGTGTCATCTGCATAAACGCAGATTGTTGATAGATCTTCCACCAATCCTAATGCCACACATCTCCTCATAGAGCCCAGCCTCTTGGATAATCTGCTCTGCATACAGGTTGAAAAGGTATGGAGATAGGACACATCCCTGGCGCACACCCTTCCCAATTTTGAACCATTCAGTGTTGCCCTGCTCTGTTCTGATGACTGCCTCTTGGTCCAAGTATAGGTTTCGCATTAGCACGATTCAATGTTCTGGGATTCCCATTCTTCTCAGAGTCAGCCACAGTTTGTTATGATCCACGCAGTCAAATGCCTTTGCATAATCAATGAAACAGAGATAGACATTCTTCTGGTATTCTCTCCTTTCAGCTAAAATCCATCTAACATCAGCAACAATATCCCTAGTGCCACGACCCCTTCTAAACCCAACCTGGACTTCTGGCAGTTCTCTGCTGATGTACTGTTCCAGTTATTTTTGGATAATCTTCAGTAGAATCTTGCTTGCATGTGAAATCAATGTTATTGTTCTGTAGTTTGCACACTCAGTTGGGTCACCCTTCTTTGGAATGGGAACAAATATAGATCTCTTCCAGTCAATTGGCCAAGTGGTTGTTCTCCAGATTTCTTGGCACAGCTTGGTGAGCACATCCAGGGCAGCATCTGTTATCTGAAATACTTCAATTGGTATACCATCTATTCCTGGGGCCTTATTTTTTGCTATTTCCTTCAAAGCAGCTTGAACTTCTGCCTTCATCACCATAGGCTCTTGCTCAAATGTTATTTCATTAAATTCTTCTGTATCTGCCAATTCCTTTCTATACAATAACTCAGTATATTCCTTCCATCTTCTTTTGATACTTCCTGGATCATTTAACATTCTTCCCAAAGCATCCTTGATTGTAGCAACTCAGGGTTTGAATTTGTTCTTCAGTTCCTTGAGCTTAAGAAATGCTGAATGAATTCGGCCCTTTTGACTTTCCGACTCTAGCTCCTCGCACATTTCATTGTAATATTTTGCAAAGCAAAGGTCTGTCGTAGAGAGGGTAAAACCAAATTTCTCCTTCAAGGCAAGGATTTTGAAGCTCTGTTTCACATATTTTGAGCACGTGGCCTAGAGGGACTGGTCCTTGGAGAAGGATATCATGCTCAGAAGGGAGGAGTGACAGAGCAGGAGAGGAAGATCCCTGATGCAATAGATTGATATAGTAACTGAGGCAATGGGGGTAGTTTTGTAGGAATGAGTGAGACTGGCTCAAAATAGGGCAGGCTTCAGAGTTGCTGTTCATAGGGTTGCTATGGGTCCCAGATGACTCGATGGCACATAACAACAACAACAACAGCAACAACAACAATTAGCTTTTTTTCTCTGTAGCATACTGCTAATGTATTTCAACTTATCAGGGTTGTCAACTTTTTCAATGGTAGAAGATACATCTTAGCTGTGTGTCAGGGGATCCTAACCTGCAGTTCGTTGATAATTTTTGGTGACTCCATAAACCCCATGAAATTGGATGAGCAATTTTGCATGTACATGTGCTCTTACTTCCCCCCACTGTGAATCAGATTTTTAAATATCATTATATTCGCCAACGATTCTGTGACCTAAGATGTATAAAGAACAGAACTTCAGCATGAGATGGTTCAAACCGAATGTACTGGGAACTCTATCAATAGTTAAGGATGGATGGATGAGTAAATGAGAATCTGTTTCCAGTTGACGTTCAAGAAACCAAACCCCTAATAGTTTGCAGATTGAAACTGGCAGGTGTCAGTGACTTGATGAAATAGCAAAAATTAGACTAACTTTCTGGCCTAAAGACAGGATAAAGTCATGATAAGAATAGCAGGCATAGTCAGTGCACCATAAAAGAGCTTTCAATCCCATTTATAGAAAAAGATGCCTGTTATTTAAAGTATCTTCTATAGTGTGCCATTTAAAATATTGAAATGAGATTAATGTGCTAGAAACAACAGCTATTATTTCTCTGTTTCTTAAAAAAATAGTGTTTTTCTCCTGACAGAAAAGAACAATTCCCATAGTCAATGTTGACAGAATTGTTATCAGGTGCCATTTTGCCAGTACCTGACAAAAGAAGACAATCTTGATTGGCTCCTTTATGGCAATTTTCATACTTGGAGAACTGGCAATTCACTCTCAGTCCTTGATTGTAGAAAGACAATGCAGAATTAAATTGATGGCACAGAGGGTGGTGCAAGTGCTTTTTGTGATGAGAATGCTTTTATAAGAACACCTGAGAATCTTGACTTTCTATTGTTTGGCTGCTTGCAGGTTTCTGTGGTCTGTTTTGTCCCATATGTCTTGAATGTGACATTGCCAGGCATCATGGAGAGTGTCTTTGTTGGCCATTGCTACCTGGGTCCTCCTTTGCACTAAGAATTGGCACTAGAGAGAGACATAAAATATGGGTAAGTGTGTTTGAAGTTGTATATGAATCTCTATATGTAACTCTAGATCTATCACTCTGCCTATCTACATACATATATGAGCTTGGATGCCTGTAATTTCACCCCAAAAAGGAGTTGTGAAGAGCAAGCTTAAAAAAAAAAAGCTACATATTTTTTGTTGGTGGAAGTGGGAAAAAGAAATTGAAGGTAATTCTGATTTAATTACCTGGAAATATAAGTCAATTAATGTGTCATATTGTGAAAGGTATGTGCCGTGCTTTGATCAAGAGTAATAAGCAGATGTAGTTATCACTAGCAGTACACCTTAACACATACTCTCATGTATGGAAATAAATTCTTCTGCCTCTGTGTCTCTTGTTGCATCAAAGGAAGATCATGCAACTCTGCTAAATTTGAAGGATACTTGGAGTGGTTTGACTTAAAATATATCCTGTGTGGGCATCATGATAGATGGAGAAAAGATTGAAGTGATCAATGATTTAATTTTATTTATATGAACAATCAAGACCCATGATAACTGCAGTAAAAAAAATCCAAAGATATATTGCATTGTAAATATCTGCTGTCAAGGACCTCCTTAAAGTGCTAAAGAGCAAGGATGCAAGCCATGATCTTTTAAATTACTTCTCCTGTATCTGAAAGTTGGAACATGAATAAAGATGACAGAAGAACTGATGTCTTTGAATGGTGGTGATGTTAAAGAGTACTGAGTATCCCATGGATTACCAAAAGAACAAACAATTCTGTCTTGGGAAAGTGCAACTAGGGTGCTCCTTAGAGGCGAGGATGTTTAGAGTATGTCTCACATAAAGCCCCAAGAATTGAAATACCAATTGACAACAAAGAGATGCTGGCCTGGATGTGCTCACCAGGTTGTGCTAAGAAACTTGGAGAACAACTACCTAGCCAACTGACCAGAAAAGATCCATATTTATTCCCATTCCATAAAAAAGGGGACCTGACAGAGTGTGGAAATTATTGAACAATATCACTAATGTCACATGCAAGCAAAATCCTGCTGAAGATTATCCAGAAACAACTGGAGCAACGTGGACATGCTACATTGACAGAGAACTATCAGAAATTCAAGGTGACTTTAGAAGAGGTCCTGGAACTAGAGACATTATCACCAATGTCAGATGGGTCTTGGCAGAAAGCAAAGAGCACCAAAAGGTTATCAATCTATGTTTCATTGATTATACAAAGGCATTTGACTGTGTGGATCCCAACACATTGTAGCTAACCTTGAGAAGAATGGGAATCCCAGAACACTTGGTTGTGCTTATGCAAAATCTATACTCGGACCAGGAAGCAGTCTCAGTACAGAGCAGGTAAATATTGCATGATCTAAAATCAGGAAGGGATTGCATCAGGGATGTATCCTGTCTCTATACCTTTTCAATCTATATGCAGAACAGATCATTTGAGAGACTGGGCTTTATGAGGAGAAGTGTTGAATCAGGATTGGAGGAAGACTCATCAGCAATCTTTGTTATGCAAGATGGCACAACCTTGCTTGCTGAAACTGAGGAGGACCTGAAGCGCTTGCTGAAGAAGGTCAAGGACTGTAGTCTTTAATATGGATTGAAGTTCAACATTAAGAAGACAGAGATTCTCAACACTGGGCCAACTGGCAGCATCATAATGGATGGAGAAGAAATTGAGGATGTTAACAGTTACAACTTGCTTGGCTCCATAATCAATGCTCTTGGCAGCATCAGTCAGGAAATCAAAAGACGAATTGCATTAGGTAAATCTGCTGTCAGGGACCTCTCTAGAGTATTGAAAAGCAGCAATGTCATTCTAGAGACTAAGGTGTGCCTGATCCAGGCCATGTGCAATTACTTGCTATTCTTCAGTGAGCTGAACAATGTCGAAGTATGACAGAAGAAGAATTGACGCCTGTGAGTTGTGAAGCTGGAGAAGAGTCTTGAACATACCATGGGCCACCTGTCTTGGAGAGGGTGAAACTAAATTTCTCATTGGAGGCTAGGATTTTGTGGCTCTATCTCACATACTTTGGGCATGTGGCCAGGAGGGACCAATCCTTGGAGAAGGACATCATGCTTGGAAGGGCAGAACTACAGATCAAGAGAGGAAGACTCTGGACGAAATGGATTGACACAGTAACTAGGGCTACTGAGGTAGGTCTGTCAGAGCCAGTGAGACTGGCTTTGGACAGGGCAGGCTTCAGAGCTGTTGTAAATTGGGTTGCTATGAGTTGCAGGTGACTTGACGGTACATAACACCTCCACTACCACCACCACCATCACCACCACCACCTTCACATACTTTGGGCATTTTGTCAGGAGGAACCGATCCTGGGAAAAGACATCATGTTGAGAAAATTTGAGAGCCATAGGAAGGGAGTAAAACCCTCACCAAGACGGATTGATGCAGTAACAATAATAATAAGTGTGAGCAAATAAGAAACGGTGAGGACGGTGCAGAATAGGGCAAAATTCAAACCTGTTGGTCACAGGGTTGCTGTGAGTTATAGTCAATTTGATGGTATCTAACAACAGCAACAATATATGACATATGTAACATTTATTTCAGTGGCTCCTTGAGGCCTCTCTTAAAGATACAATTTCTAGCATAACTTAGACTGAGATATACTGAGGTTGGGGGAGCCATAAGTCATGAGCAGGGAAATGTGAAAGTTAAAGAAAAAGTTTCATCCTCATGTATGTTCTGGTGTGAAAACTCAAAGGTACATGGTTCAAGACCATCAGATGCTTCTCAGGAGTAAGATGGACAATCTTCTCCCAGGCAATTCCCTGTCTCAACTCTACTAGAGAGGTAGTTCTGTGTCAGTTCTGACTCTATGATACATAACAACATGTACTGATATGAAACGACCCCAAGCTTATATTTTTATTGTTCAAATTTTGTGTAGTTTTGAAAATTTTATGTAGAGATATATATAATTTGATGAAAATTTATACAGCAAATTGAGTTCCCATTGACAATTTCTACATGGTTTTTTCCATTACAGTTTCCACAATTTCTCAACCTTCTCTTTGTGTTGTTTCTAGTACACATTCTAATTTTCTCGCTTCCTTGTCTTCTCATTTATGATTTGGAGTCTGTTGTTGTTGTGAGTTAGAACTGAACCATAGCTGACCCTCCGGCAGGTTTTCAGAGGCAGTTCATCGCATGAGAGGAGGCTGTCTAGCCTTCTCCCACGGAGCAGCTGGTGACCTCAAACCATGTGCTTTCTGGAGTGCAGTGCAACTTCTTGCCACTAGGCCACCAGCGTTTCCTAAGATACATATTTTAAGTGGAAAAATGCAGTATGAAACTATTTGGAGGATTATATATTATATATGTACATACATACATATTTATGTATATAGTATCTATCTATCTATTGGAAGCAGAAACGGCATCCACTTCCTAAACAACATGTCTCCGGAAACTCTATGAACTTTGATAAATGTTGATAATTATAGAGGACCTTCAGGGCTTTTGTTTATAGTGTCGCTAGGGTCGTGCTCTACTCTAAGGCAATTGACAACACACATACATACACCCCCCCCCTCCACACGAACATCGAATTTATCTTGGATGATATATAAGAAACTGCTAATGATGCCCCCCCCACCCCCGCCCCCCGCAACTGTGTGGCCAAGAATGGCTGTGGAAGGGAAATTTACTTTTCATATTTCTTCTTACCATTGGAATTCTGGAGCATGTGTTTTCAATCTTAATACTTGAGCTATGGTAAGACTGAACGCAAATCCAGAGAGAGCAGCTGGAAGCACTTAAAGATTTATTACACTCCCTGGTGTTCACAGCATGCCCGGCAGGGCTACCAGTGGAAAGGCAGTGGGTGGTCACAGACAGAGATGGGGTGTCACTGTGGGCAAACATCTCTACTGTGGTACCTTTTTGTAGGAACCTTGACAGGGAGATGTCAGAACAAGTGGGGATTTTATTGGCTAGTCGTATCTGAAACTCATGTCTCGGGGCTTAAGGCATTTATCAAAGGATGAGTAAAGGAACATTATCTAGGCCTCGCAGACTTGGGGTGGAAAAAGAGTTCCTTATTGTGTATTAATTACAGAAGGGAGAAAATATGATTAATACATCCTATGCTTTCATTACCCACTCCAAATAAAGACATACATTCTACATTTAGAAAAACCAGGTTCTAAAAGAAAAACAAAAGGCGCAGACAGGGGAGTCAGTGGTTTGAAACATGAACCCTGTAGCAAAAGTCCTAAGGGAGCTCTGGTGACATTGTGGTAAGGGACTGCAACGTCCTTACATCTGAACAGCAGCGGTCAAATCCACCAGCTGCTCGGTAGAAGAAAAAATGGACAGTTTCCTCCTCTGAGATGAACTGCCTCTGAAAATTTATTGGGTGGTCAGCAGTGGGTTGGTCCTGACTCCACCATTTTCAGCAACAATCAGAAGCCCTAAGGAGGAGCCTCTTTAGCAGTCAAGCTGCTTCCTACCAGGGGCTGTGTTTGTTGGTGCTGAGTGGTGGTGGTGGATCTGGGAGGCAGTGGGGAGGATGGGCCAGCAGACCATATTGGACTGAGTGATGGGAATATGCTGGTAAGTGGACAGAACAGAGACCCCCCTCTCACCCTAGGGCACGCTGTGTGAGGACTGGCTGGCGGTGCACTGCTGTTGGCCCTTTTCCATCTGCCAGGTGGCCCGGGAACTCAAGATGAGGACCTCTAAATTCTACGAAACCCAGGAATCCCCTTCGACTAAGGATGCCATGTGTTGATAGAGCAAGATAACTTTGTCATTCTCTTCATTCCCTCCCTCCTCTTCTCAAGCCCTCTTAGTAGAAAGATTTTTCTTCTGAGTTTTCACTGAAATGTCATTAAAAGAAATGATTTCTCCTTCCTGCCTCTACTATTGCTCTCCCCCTACCCCTTATGCCTCTGCTGAAGAGTCCTCTATGTCTAGACACAGAAGGAAAATTCTAGAGGTGAGTTTTGTACCCCCACCAGCATCCTATCCACCTGGAGTTCTGGAAATTGCACTGTCAGCTTCCAACTGCCCTCCTCTCAGGAGGAAGAACTGGTAGGTGGCTTTCTTTTGCTTTGCCATGTTTCCCAAAATACCAGCGATGGGACAAGAGGTGTTTTTTAGTCAGCATCTGGACTAGACACTAAATGTCATGAAACCCACAGGGACTGTCACCCTCTTATTTTGGCTCCTCAGTTCCAACGGTATAAAGGTGAAAGTCTCAGGTTGGTGCCAATAAGGAACACCTGTGAGTTTTCTTTGAGCTGCAGGAGCAGAGTCCTGGGGGGGAACCAGCATCCTCCAGTGAACGGACACTCTTGTTTTTGTTCTGATGGGTGCACAGCACAACAAAGAGTGGGAAAGTTTGTATGCTTCAGCCTGAATGGCCTCTCTCACTTACCAACCTTGCTCTTCCCCATTATGAAATGTGTAAACTGTAGGCAAACTTACTAGCTTTTCTGTGCCTCAATTTCCTTATCTATAAAATGGTGGAGAGGTGAGGATTCTAATTAGTGAAGGCACTAAACACCATGCCTGGGCAGAAGTAAGAAAAGCAAGACAAAATTGTGTAAAACACCCAAATTAATTCCCGCTGAGCTGACTTTAATTCAGGGCAGTCCGGGTGTGTTAGAGTAGGACTTTTATCTTCAGTGGGTGATTTTTGGAGACGATTGCCAGGCCTTTCTTTTGAAGCTACTCGGAGTGGCCTTGAACTTACAACCTTTGGTTAGCAGTCAAGTATTTGAACCACCTGTGTTATCCAGGAACGTGGCAAGTGATAAGGATTCAAGAAACACTGTGCATTATTACTGTTTTATATAAGTTATGTTCATAGCATATTATAGTAGTTTCCCATTTATGGAAAGCTGATATAAAGCTTTCCTTTAAGTTTTAGACTTAAATAGCATGAACTACTTTTTACATCAATTTTACATATTAAGTAATAATAGAAGTGGTAGGTGGCTATGGCCAAAATTGTGGTGGGTGTAATACTAATTTTATTGAGCACTTGGATATGCCAGGGTCTGTTCAAGGTTATTTATATCGTTTTGAGTTTGTTGTTTTTTGTTTTTTTTTTAATATTTGAATGAAAGTTTACGAAACAAATTGGCCTCATTTAACCATTCCTATACATTTTGTTTTAGAACCTACTGCAATGAGGTCACAATTTTCCCCACTTCCTCCCTGTAATTCTCATTTCCATTAATCCTTCTCTTTTATCTCTTCCGGCCTTCTGGGCTTTATCCTTGGACAAATACTGCTTTTCTGACCTTGTGTCGTTGGTCATTCTGTGGAGTGAGCATCTCATGCTATTTACATGTTTGAAGAGAGTTTAGCTTTAACATCCCTGAGAAAGTGCTTCTTACCCCCAATTTTCCAAAAAAGGAGCCCAAACACAGAAAGGGTAGGTAACTTGCCCAAGGCTGCACAGCTAGCAATGGCAGTGAGTTTTTTGAGACTGTGCACTAAGCAAGCAGAGGATGGGAGCCCTTGTGACCACGTGCCAGTGCAAATGCTAGTCTGTTTTATGAAGATGAACTCATACTGGTCAAAGTTGACAAGAGGTGTCATGTAACCCCTACTCCTTCCTAACCCCATGGAAATAAAATGATTGTAATCTTTGGCAAAGTGATTCACCCTCCCAACCCTCCCATTTGGATGCCCATAGCACCTGCAAGGAGCTAAAGTCCTTTGGGAAAAATGACTCAGTGTTGACAGTCTCTGATAAAGCAGTCTCTTCATCAAGTCAGCTACTGAGAAGAAACCTCAGGCTTGTGGAACAACTGTATTAAATGAAAATAAACCGGTTTTATTATTTCATGCTGAAACATGTATTGGGTTTTACAAGCTTACAGTTAGGAACAATAGGCATTTTTTTGGCAAAGGAGACTTGGGTAATCTCTCCACTTGTGTAGTTGACATCTCCTGGCGTGAAGAGCAGATGTTGCTGTGTGCGTGGTTTCGGGTGCGGTTCTCTCAACTGATGTCAAAGGTGGGAAGGATGTAAAAGGTGGGAAGGGACTTCACAGCGAGGCAGTCCCCTGTCTTTCCCTTTCCTTCTTGTGATTGATATGTGTGGTAAAGAGCAAACGTAACACTTCATTAAAGCTTCAAATCCAAAAGAAATAACTGAGTTCTGAAAGCATTTAGTCTATGTAACGCAGAAAAGAATTGTGTGGATAGTTCTTTGAAAACTGATGGGGGAGAGAGCTGGCTCAGGGCCAGGACTTCTGGCTTCCTCTAGAAGATGTCAAGTCCACAGAGAAAGGACCTGCTCCCCACTTCCAGGGGAAAGTTTATCCAACACCGACTATTTAAGTGGGAGACCACACCTCCGATACGAAAAGTCCCATTTGCTCAGCTGTCAGCGGTACAAGTCTGAGAGTTACCCAACAGTGAAGGCACGTTCTGTGTATTTTTCTTCTCCCAAGAAAATTCCTTTTGGTTTTTCAAGATGCAGAGTGTGGAACAGATTCTGACGACTCCGTGTGGGTAAACAAAACCAGCACATATGCAACAGATAACTCAAAGTAATCCATACAGATCATTGTAAATTATAAAGCCAGAAAACAAACATCTCGCCCCCCTTAACCCCGCACGAAACCTCTTGGTTTTAGTGGAATATACTAAGGAAATAATCTGCCAGCCCTGAAACCCTATTATTTTGGAATAAAGATAAAAAAGTTTGAAAGTCCACTACCCTCTGTAATAATTTTTAAAAATATATTTTATAACTAAAGTTTATTTATACAGTAGTTCATAATGACTTAACACTTGTCCTGATAAACATTATTCACATACATTTTAATTAGTACAATTCTGTGTTGGTCTATTAAAAACACTGTACTTAACAAACCGAGTCATCAGTTTGAAGCCTTTCTGCTTGGATTTTCCATGAAAGAGTGCATTTTTTCCCCTCCTGTCCGTTTCTCCTTGCTGTTTTGCTCCCTCTGTCCCCTGCCGCCCAACATTGCCCTTGCCCTCCAACCAACGGGAAATAATAATAATAAGCAACAATGCTAGCAGATGAAACATCAGAACACGTAGTAGGCTGGTAACTGCAGGGGCTGTTTCCGGGCTGGCCTCTTCAAATGGCTCCAAGCCATCCTACCCCCCCACCTCCTGTTCACCACGTCTCACCCTCCACGTTTGATCCTGTGGCTATGCTGGAGCTGGCAGTCCAGACAGAAAATCTTTTGGAAACGAGGAGGTTTTTACTAAGCTGCTAGATTTGGCTGGGAACATAAATCTTAATTTTATGTCTCTGATTTTTTGTGTGTGTGTGTGTGTGTATTGCCTAAGCAAGTTCAAAGCCATGGGAGGTTCCCAGGGGCTTAATGGACAGCATGCGTCAATATCCAGAGTTGGTGACTTTCTGTTGCTCTGATCATGAGAGAGGGAAGCCAATGTGGGAAGAAGGAAATGTTAGCGGGAGGGCCTTGAAGATGCTAGCCTGTGTGCTCCAGTGGTTTATGGTGTCTGCCAGTTATGTTGTTTCCTCCTAGCTTATCCAGCTTGCCCTTGGGTGAGCAGCTTGCTATAGGAAAACCTGCATGTACCTTTCCATACATTTTCTAAAATTCAGATTCCTTCCAACTCTGGCATTCTATGCCTTTATCCTAGAAAACGAAGTCACCCTGTCACTAATTATAGATGGGCCATAAGGGCCTGAGGGTGGTATCAAGTAAAGTCTAGAGCCTGCATGCAACAGCTTTATGCTTATTGCTGCTGAAACCAAATAGAAGCCAATCCAAATCATCAGAGAGGAAATGGAACCAAGACCTAGTCACAGCAGTTCAGAGTAGAGAGATGACTGACAATTGGGAGCACCATCCTTTGGCCACGTGTGAAAGGGAGGTGTCATCATTGAGTTATTCTTTCTATGGGCCAACTATGTGTCTTGCTTTCTTAGTCATCCCTTGGCACATAAAACCATGGTTCCTTGGGGTTTCTCATTCCTTATTAATCACCTTCCCTTGTGGTTAACCAAGGAAAGAGTGTGGCCAAGAAGCCAAAGTGATTCAGCCCATGGAAAGATAGGTGCCAGCTTGAGTCCTGCATACGACAAGTTCATAGAGAAGAAATAAGCTCTGTAACCACAAAATGCAATCCTTGCTCCACTCCAGGATTGGGCTGACATCTGCTTCTACAAACCAGACTAGATAAAAAGACTGAAGATGCCTCAGTGTAAAACGAAGGATCCTGAATTTTTAAAAAACCCATATGCCCAGTGATGCTGTATTTCTGTCAGAATCTTTGATTAACTTAAGGAAATAAAATGCTTTTAAAATTAAACTATTTCCCATGATTTAAGTTAGGGAAGAAGACAGTAATGTAGGGATCAAAATGTTTTAGGGTAGTTGTGAATGTCACTTCTAGGTGTAATGCCTTTCTCAGGTTAGCAAAGATAGAAATGATGATGTAAATTATAGGTTGGTAGACATTTTACCAATGGCGTAATATCTTCCAACAGTGTATTTCTTTACTTGATGATCATGGTTAAAACTGATTTTTATTTCTTTAGACTTGAAATAGCCTCTTTGTAAGGGTCATACACAGTCTGTGGTATCTTTCTTATAACATCATGGGGTTTTCTTGTTTAAAATTCTATATGAAAAAAAATTTTAAAACCCCCCAAAATTCTATATGTACCAAGTCCTTATTTCCTTGGACAGTATTTTCTAACCACAGAACCCTTCTGGGTCAGAAGGTGTCAGGGGGAAAAGACAGAATGTAATTGGAATGGAAAAA